GAGGCAGGCTCAGGACACAGCCAGCATTGCTCAAGTTTGCATCCTCTCCCCCACTTTGCCTCCTGGTGTCCATGGGCTGTCCCAGCTGAGCGCAGCGGGATCGCGGTGCCGGCCACCGAGAGAAAGAAACCCAAATCCACCCAGCAGTGACCTAAAGCTGTTGTTGTTCATGTTCTGACCCACACAGCAACGGGTGAGGCCAGTCCAGGTGTCCAGCTCGCTCTCAGAGATCTCTTTTATTGAGAAACCACTCCAGGCCCAGTACTCTCATCCCATAAAAATGAAGGTTAACTGCAGCTCTGGGATATTCTCAAAGCACAGCAAATTTCAAGCAGTCAACAGCTTTGAACCTTGTTTTCCCCAAACCCATGAGATTAAAGCAAGGCTAAGCAAGATTATAGATTTAGGAAATTATAATCAATAGTGAGCACTAACTTGTTTAATCATTTAAAAGGAGTACATCAAGCAATTACAATAATTTAGGATGTAACCAGATATCCTAAATATAATTTGGGTTTTTGCTCATATTTACTGGCTACATTATTTTCTAAATAATAGCTTCCCAAGGAGCAGGCCCAGCAGAAGGATCATTATTCAATCACTGATCCTCTTCCCTCTTATTCAAATATAGGACCATCAGAGCCACAGCTATACCTACCTACACACACACTCAATAAATTAAGAAGTTTTTTATTTCTTTCCCAGTTTGTCAGGGGGAACAAAAAGGGGCACTAGGGATTAAATTAAATAAATAAATTGAACTCAGAGGAATATTAGGCCCTCACTTCAATTAACCTGTGCAGACAATGCCAAAAGTTGATGGATTCAAGACTAAGCAGAAACTGGAAGAGAGCTCAGGACCAACCCCACCTCAAGTGGGGGATGAACACAGAGCCAAGGATGAGACTCCCATTCCAGACATAAACCAAACCTCCAGAATTCCTACACTGCTCACAGGAGCAGGGTAGGAGGCACTCCAGCAGTATTTCAGTGTCCACTGACATGGACCATTTGGATTTGATTTCCACGTTTGCTCAACTGAGGAGTAAAACAAGGTTTGCTGACTGAGGGGTCACTCAGCCCTTCCACTGAGAGCTTTACATTTTCATTTATTGTGAACAGCATTCAGTAACAATTCCATTAATGACTTTTCTTTCATGAAGTGATCTTAGAGCAGAGTTTTGTGTATAGACAAAGTCCCCAACTCCTGGTTTCCATTCCCCTTCCATCCCCAAAGGAGGTGACAGAACTCAGGTCAAACAGCATTTCCTCCTCACACCGAGCAGCACCCACAGCAAGCAGCATCTGGAAATCCAAATCCTGCCCTGGCCTTTATCAGGCTCCAAGCCAGAAGAACTCAATAAAAGAGAACATAAAAGCAACTCCAAACACTCCAAGCTGCTTTTCCAGCACGACCTTTGGGTTGAGTCACCCCACATGTCAGAGCCAAGCTCGCAGGCTGAGTAACGACAGGATGAGGCAAACGTTGGGTTGTGCAATCCTGATTTATCACCGAGAGCAGCAGATTATCAGCACGAGCACAGCCACACAACCAGGGAATGGCTTGGGCTGGAAGGGACCTTAAAATTCATCTCCTCCACCCCTGCCATGGGCAGGGACATCTTCCACCATCCCAGGGTGCTCCAAGCCCTGCCCAGCCTGGCCCTGGGCACTGCCAGGGATGCAGGGGCAGCCACAGCTGCTCTGGGCACCCTGGGCCTCCCCACCCTCACAGGGAAAAATTTCTTCCTTATATTCATTTACTTGCAAGGAAAACTATTTATTGTTGACATATGTAGAAACTCATCCCTCCAATTTTTTTTCCTGCTGAAATCAGAACTTCATGCCCTGTCCTGAATATATTTTTATACACTTGCAAATTGTTTGTATTTTTTTTTTTTGGCTTTAATTTGATCCTTTCTTTTTTATCCTGAGCCAGGATAGGTCAGACTGGCTGCTTTCTGCTCCCAGTACCAGGTGCCATCTGAAAAATAAAGTGGTTTGGATGAGTTGTGCCTTGTTTTGCATGCCACTGTGTCTGGCCTCACCACAAGTCTGGTTACCATTATCAGGAAAAACAACAGGCTGTTCCTCAAGATAAATGGACTGGGTTAGAAAAATTTGGGCAGATCTGGCGAAGCAAAAACATCTCTGGATCAATGTGTACGTTTTTCAAAGAAATTCTAGGAAGCCTGAATAAATTATCCTCCAGCCTATCACAGCCTTGCTGCCTTACAGCTCACAGGATTGCTGTTGGATATAGGAATTTTTGTTCCTTATGGAACACCTTTTGCCTGCAGACTTTTCTAACAAACGTTGTTAACCTACATGAACCAAAGATTTTGTTCAATTTGCAAAATCCTCTCTTTTTTCTGCTGGCACAGAGTCCAGAACATACTGTTTTTACCACATGCAACTGTTCTTTTATTGCTCCCAGCCTGGAAAAAAAGACATTATCTTGTTATTCTGACCTATGACCACAATCCCCCCACTAAATTATCTCTTGCATTTCCTCCTCCTTTCAAACAGAAAGGGAATTTATTTTATAACCATTTTGCATCAGGCATGACTGAAGTTAACCATGAATCCACTGCAGCTCTGTGAGGGCACAAAAGCTGAATTATTCCTTATTTTAGATCAAAATCATTCCTGCCAGGCTGCCAACACATCTGGCACTTTGCAGGGAGCAAACACAGGAATGACACCCAAAAATCTGGTGGAAAGAGGAAATCCAGGGCCTGTTCTGAGTGAGGCACAAACACCCTGAGCTCTGGTGTGGGGTGGAGGAGAATGGATAAGGAAGGAGAAAATAGATTGGGAATTGGGTGGGAATTCCCTCTGAGCAATTAAATACATAAACACTATTGAGTAAATCTGGATCATTGCAGTCTCCCAGCAGTGAAATATCCTTCAATGCATGTGGAATGGTTCTTGAGGTGCTTATCAGGCTTTGGAGGTGATCTCTGGGTGGAACAGGTTATTCAGTACATGCACTGTGAAAGGCAGAGTGCACCCCCAGCACTGCACAGCCATACCCTGCTGCTCCTTAAACACTTCCAGAAACTCAGCAATGCCAGCTGGGGAGGAAGGGAACCCTCAAAGAACCCCCTTCCCTTCAGCTCAGTGAACCACAACTGCACACACTCACCTGGGGCTCAGCCCTTCACACACCTTCTCATTTTGCCCTATTTTTCTTTAATTAGCTGAGGAAGAACTTCATTGCCTGGAGGGTGGCAGAGCCCTGGCACAGCTGCCCGGGACAGTGTGGGGTGTCCCTCTCTGGAGACATCCCAAACCCAGCTGGCCGTGTCCCTGCCTGGGGCTGGGTGATCTCCAGAGCTCCCTTCCAACCCCAGACATTCCCTGATTCTGTGAATTTTCCTGAGGACCCTGCTGCCCTTGCAGGGGAAGGAGCTTCCCTGCCCTTTTTTACACCAAATATCACATCACCACGGATCATTTCTCCTCCCAGTGCAGAAAGCCCTGCCAGCTTTATCCTAATTCCTCTCTGCATTCACAACCCCATTTCCCACCCCACACCCACCAATTTCTAGTTCCACTGTTCCACTCTCTACTGTTCCACAGTTCTAGTTCCACTCTCCACTGTTCTTTCTTCAACATCACAAAATTTGCCTTTATCTCCATTCTACTGAACCCAGTTTGCTTTCCAGTGCTGGTTTTGAGTCTTTTTTGCTGCATTTCTTTTATCTCCCAGCAGAGCTGAGCATCCATCCCCGTTTGGGACGTGCTGCCACGCAAACGAGGAATTCTCTGGGAACAGGAGGAGCCAGTGTGGGGTCAGCAGCAAAAAAACCCTGTCAAGGGAACAAAAACCAGACAGGGGCTGCTCTGGATGTGCTCTCCCACCCAGGGAAGTGACAGACACTGAGCTGTTCCATTTTTCCATTGGGATAGGCTCCCTGGTCTGACATGAGCATGAAAGCAAAGCCAGGCTGTGCTCCAGCCCCAGGAGCTGTCAGTCATTCCTTTAAAACCAGGGAAAACAAAAGGAAACACCTGCCCACAGAAATACTGGAATTAACATGTTCCCTCACTCCAAGAAGTTGTGTTTATTTTAATCTCAAGGCTGGGTGCAAAGTTGGCAGTGGCAGCAAAAGACTGGTAAGCGCAGAGAGGCAGAAAGATGAATTAATCTTTAAAAAATTAAAATAAACCCCATAGAAACAAATCCTAACTTACAAAAATAAACCTCCATTTCTAGAGAAATTAAATAATGTTTTGGCTGATGTATAGAAGATTCAACATCAGCATCATGTGGAGGGTTGGAACGAGATGAGCTTCAAGGTCCCTTCCAAGCAAAACCATTCCGTGATTCTGTGATCTTTTAATGAGCTCCTGTCAATTAGCAGAAGTTCACAGGGGCAGTGATTAATTGGCAGAGAATCCAGAGCACTGACTTTATTAATTAAAAATCATTAAGTGTGTGGAAGGGAGGGATAACCAGGCTGTAACTTCACTTCCAGATGCAGCAGTGGGATTGAAAGCTGGGCTAAAAGAAAGGTTAAAGAGCTCTAAAGTCACATTCAGCAAAACCTCCTCCAGCACAAAATGCAGCCCAGACATTGGGAATTCTGCCTGAGGAACATCACAAATGGCCTGGGCACTGAGCTGGAGTTTGTCACTGGACTGTTCTTGTGGGGGGGAAAGAAAGGTTTCATTTCTTGTGAATATCAAAGAAAAATCCCAGAATCATGGAATGGTTTGGGTGGGAAGGGACATTGGAGATTATCCAATTCCAGCCCTGACACCTTCCACCATCCCAGGGTGCTCCAAGCCCTGTCCTACCTGGCCTGGGACACTTCAGGGATGGGGCAGCTACAGTAAATCACGTTTTTACTGATTTTTTGTGAGCCTTCTCTGGGAAATCCATTCCAGGCCCTCCCCAGCCTCACAGGGAGGAATTCCTGCCCAGTATCCCACCTGACCCTGCCCTATTTCAGATCAAACCCAGAACCATCTCCAGGTAAATATTCCAAACACACAGGTAAATATTCCAATGGTAAATATTCCAAACATACAGGTAAATATTCCAAAGGCTGTGGCTGAAGGAGACCCAGTCCCAGCTCACTCCCTGTGGATCCAGAACCAGGAGGAATTTTGGGAACAGCCCTTGCCCTCACAGGTTCTTCAGCCTCAGCACAACATCAGTGAGGCATCACTTGTTTGTTAAGAATAAGGCTCAGTTCTGGTGAAATCCAAGAGAGATTCCCTTACTTTATGACTCATGGAAGGATGTGATCAGATAAAAAGTTCAGATAAAAAAAAAGATCCAAAAAAACCTCAGAGAATTAAAACCCATGGACTCAAAGGGCTTTTTAAAACCTTGGAAAATGTGTTTCACATCAGAAAATCAGATTTCTAATGTGGATTTTGCCCTTTTTTCCTTGTTTAATATATCTTTGTTATATTTGGGTGGAGGTGGGCCAGGGTTAACTCCAAATATCTCTGTGGCAGACACCTGCAAGAAACTTGTTCATCTGCTGGCTCCCAATAATTGAAAAAATAAAACCCAAAGCAATTCAATTTATAAAATTTTCTTTGGCTTTCACCAGTCCTCATCAGTGTCTCCACATCAGCACCACATCATTTGAGGGTACAAAAGGTTCACTCCTGCTCTGCTCCAGCTCCTCCCACTGTCTGTGCCTGTCCTGAGGAGCTTGGCAGCAAACAGCTCCAAGGGCTCATCCCACGGGTGAGATCTGAGCCTGCCTGAGCTGGAAAATCCTGTGCACAGATAAGTCTGGGACACTGAGCTGCTTGGATTCCCACTTGGAAAGCAAATCCTCAGTGCTGCTTCACGCTGCCATTATCAAATGACTGCTTCAGACGCCAAGTTGAGGAGACAAGACGTGACTGAGGAGTTTTCTCTGGAAAAAACATCAGTCATCCCTTAATTAACACCCAGGCTCCCCTTATCTGCTCCAAAAATACATGGTCACATTTCCAGCTCAGGGTTCTGCATGAGAAACTGGAGGGACAGGGCACAGGGAATGGTTTCACTGCAGGGTTACATGGGATTTTGGGAAGGAATTCCTCCCTGTGAGGGTGGGAGGCCCTGGGATGGATTTCCCAGAGAAGCTGAGGCTGCCCCATCCCTGGAGGTGCCCAAGGCCAGGCTGGGCAGGCTTGGAGCAGCAGTGGGAGGTGTCAGGGCTGGAACTGGATGGGCTTTAAGGTCCTTTCCAACCCAAATCATTCCATGATCCCAAGTCTTCTATGAAGGCCCAAAGAATTGATTCACAAATGAAGTTCTGTGCAAGGAGGGCACTAAGGACCAGCTGAAGCATTCAGAATCTTCACCATGTTAAAAATGGACAAGAACTCTGGAAAGCACAGGAAAAGAGTCTCAAGAGAACTGAACAAACCTCAAACTTTTCCTTCTCTTACCACCCTGAAGGTGCAAGGGCAGTGTGTGAAAACTGAAGAGGAAAATAACATTGGCCCATCACATCCATCCCATGCAACCATTATAAAATAAACCATTACAAAATAAACCACTATAAAAGACACTTCCTCATGTTTAGTGTATAACACTTAATGGCTCTCCTGCTCCAAAGGTGTATCAGCGAAACTAAAAAAGCTCTTCCTGTGCTCTTTGTTCTGCACATGACACTGAACTGTACAAAGATCATTGTTTTTAAGCCTAATTAGAACATTCACAATTAAATAAATGCAGTGAGAAGTGAGAAGTGAAGTGAGAAGATGCTGCACTCCAGGACTCCCAGTAAGAACACAAGCATGCCAAAATTAACTGGATTTTAAAAAACACCTGGATTGAAGTCACAGCAAAGAACCAGCCTTGTTCTACACCATTACTGGAACTGGGCTCAAAGCTTCTGAATCATTTCTTAGAGATAGAAAGGCAATAACACTAATTTTTAAATTATCACAATTACATGAAAGCCAGCAAAGAGCAAAGAGTGCCTTTATAGAAATCCATTCCCTAAATCCTGGAAATATCCACAGCTCAATGTCAGACAAACCCACTCAAAGCACAGTCCAGTTGTGCTTTCCAGAGCCAGGATGACAGAGTGGAGCTGCCCCGAACACCTGGTGTTTGCTCTCAGTCCTGGGCTGGGATCTCCATCCAGGTTTTACCTCTGCACACCTCAGAGTCACCTGGAATTCTGTCCCAGCTGATGACAGCCAAGGGCTGCTGTGACTTTGCCTCTCCCTGCACACCAGCCCTGCTATTCTGCATCTCTTCCTTTATTAATAATTGAATTTGTGCCATCCTGCAGGTGAAGTCATTTAGCAATTCCCTCCCGTGCAAGGGCAGGTGGAGGGGGGTCACTGATCTGATCCTCAAAGCATTCATCAATCTCAGAGATTTTGAACAGATGAGTGTTCCAGAGGTCTGAGGGAAATCAGATCTGCAGACATTAATGGATTAGGTGTTTCTTCAGAATTTACATGCACATCAATGGGTCAAACATCACATTTGTCTGTGCAAATCTGTGCCACCCCAAGGCAGAAAGGGAATTACACAACAAACATCCTCCTGGTGCTGGCAGCTTTGCTCCTGGCATAGCTGACAGAGCAGTAAAAATTCTGGAATCTCTGAGGCTGAAAAAAAACTCCAGGATCAGAGTCCAAGCTGTGCCCAGTCTCCACATTGTCCTCCACCCAGAGCACCAAGTGCCACCTCAGGAATTGCTGGGACACCTCCAGGGGTGGGCACTGCAACCCTCCCTGGGCAGTTCCCATCCCTGACCCCCCTTTCCATGGGCAAATTCCTGCTGCTGTCTGAGCTGAGCCTGCCCTGGCCCAGCCTGAGGCTGCTCCCTCTGCCTCTGCCTCTGTTCCCTGGGAGCAGGGCCCGACCCCCTGGCCAGGCTCTTGCACTGCCCAAGCTGTGTCCTTTGAAAGCCTTTTAATAAATCCCTACTTTATTCCTTTAACTCTGTCCAGCCCCTGTTCTAGACAGCCTCTCAAGGCATCATTGGTTTTTTAAGACACCTGAGGGCTCTGTGGCCTCACACAAGGCCTCGCTCTGAGGCCTTTAGGATGTCAGGCCTAAACACCACCAGGACTGTGCTAAATTACCAGACCTAAGGAATTACAAGTATGCACACTACGAGTAATGAGGATACATAAAATGTACATTAAAAAAAAATGCAAAATCTCCCCTTGGCCCCCCACATACCTTCGGAGTTGAGGGTGATGAGGGTGACGTTGTTGCCGATGCTCTGGCTGCCCACCTGGCCGCTGTTGGACACCGAGTCGCTGGCCTCGGAGCCGCTCTCGCCGTCCTCATTGTGGCTGTCATCATGGCCAGGCACCTTCACCACGATGGTGTTCTGCCGGCGGCCTGGCACCGCGCTGTGGGCAAGGAACACAGGTCACCTCCAGAGAACAGCCCTCAGCAGCAATGGCAGCATGGAATGTCCAAATTCCAGTGCCAGTTCAGCTTATGGGCCTGCACGTTGTTGTGAGGGCCAACATGGGTCACCTTGAGGGAATGGACCCTCAGGAGGAACCTGAGCATGGAATATCCAAATTCCAGCATCACTCAGTTCAGGTCATGGCCCTGCACATCATTGTGAGTGCCAACATGGGTGACCTCAAGGGAACGGCCCCACGTGAGCATGGAACAGCCAAATTCCAGCACCACTCAGTTCATGTCATGACCCTGCACATCGTTGTGAGGGACAACACAGATCACATCGAGGGAACAGTCCCTCAGCACACATGTGAGCATGGAATATCCAAATTCCACCATCAGTTCAGCTCNAAAAACCCATCCAGGCAACGTGTGACATAACCAGGATTGAAAAGTGCTGGAAATTACATTAATTATCAATCTTCCACTTTTGATTATGGCCCAGAAAAGGCCAGGCCATGCCATGAGCAGCAGGTCAATGCCACCCTTTTTGAAGATAAATGTACTCATAAAAACACAACAGCAGAGATCTCTTGTTTTCAGGCAGCCTGGGAAGGAATTTCCAGTTATTACCCTGCTTTGAGCCTGAACTTCCTGAGGCAGATAAGGAGCAGCATGTGGAGATTGTGCTCTCTGGGAAATGAGGCCCTCAGCACGCTCCAGGAGTGAAATTATTGATTAAAATAAAAATTCTGGATGTTTAGAAAACACAGTTTGAATCCAGGAGAAAGATTTGGAATCCGTCATTATGCAATTAGTTACTTTTCTGATTTTCTGACAAATTCTGGTATCAGCAGAAGTTTGATTGAAGCACTAAAAGAAATTTAGATTTAAGCACTAAAATCTTGGGGGTGGAGGAGGTACTGTTATAAATTGGATTTCAAAATATTAATTACAGGAAATGAAGGCTTGCTGATCACCAGGTAACAAATAAATACAATTATCACAAATAATTGTAACAAAGAAATACAGTTATCCTGCAAATCAGGTAACAAATAAATACAATTATCCTGCAAACACCTCTGAGTTCTTTCTGGGGATTTGGAAATAATTCCCACCAGGTAATTCTGCTTTTCCAAGTTCCCAACCAGCTCTGTGCCCTTGCCATCACCACAGACATCTTCCAGCCATTCCAAGGATGCTTGGAATAAAATTAGGGATTAAATCTCAAATTTCCAGATCCCCTGAGGGCACCCTATAGAAATCCTGCTCTTCCCTTGGTATGAAAAACACAATTTCACGAGTTATTGGGAGCAGATTTCCTGCTCATGGAACAAAGAGATGGAGCTCAAGATATGCAAAAATGTACAGTTCCTAAAAAAAAGGGGGAAATGCTGTTTGGAAAGACTTTTTTCAAACTCGAGTGTTTTAAATGACTAAATCTCAATTATTATATGATTTTTCCAAAAGCAAACTAGTAGTTTTGAGATTTTTAAAAATAGAATTACTAGTGTTTTAAACTACTCTAAACTGGTACACAAATTATCCTGCTTCAAGTGAAACTGGGCCCTCCAAACCCACTGAAATAAAGAAATTATTTCTTTTTTTCAAACTCGAGTGTTTTAAATGACTAAATCTCAATTAGTATATGATTTTTCCAAAAGCAAACTAGTAGTTTTGGGATTTTTAAAAATAGAATTACTAGTGTTTTAAACTACTCTAAACTGGTACACAAATTATCCTGGGACACCCCTAAATCCCTTTTATTTCCAATCCTTGTTCCTTTAATCACTAATTGATTACCTGCTCTCCATTCATTTTCTTGCACTGACAGAATTAACTCCACAACTTACAAGAAAAGTTTCCAAGGTCTGCTTTTACTGCTGGATTTTCAAATTCCCAGTGACTGCACCATTCAGAATATTTAAATTCTGCCAGGAATTCAAACTGGAACCCAAAAGGATAAATAAGGCTTTTCTGCCCCCTTCTGTTTATTGTCTGCTCAATAAATTAAATATATTGTGTGCAACACAACCCAGTGCTCTGCTTCACGCTGATAAAGATTTGTAGAGTTTCACTGAACATGATCCCATTTCCAACATGCATGAGGTAAAAACCTGCCCACTTTTATTAAATATAATAATTTTTAATTGTTTCTTTAGGCAGAAAGCAAAGATGAGCCCTACAAAGGCCTGAACCAAATTCCACTTCATGCACTTTTCCATTTTTTGCTGTAGTAGTAGTAGTAATAATAATAATTATTATAATAATATATAATTATTATAATATAATAATAACATATATTATATATTATATATTATATAATATATATAATATATTATATATTATATAATATATTATATATATTATATATTATATATAATATATATTATATATATTATATATTATATAATATATTATATATATTATATATTATATATTATATATTATATATAATATATATTATATATATTATATATTATATTATATCTATTATAATATAATATAATATATAATAATATAATAATATATAATTATAATAATATAAGTGGTAATTATAATAATAATAATAAAAAATAATGTTATATACTATTATATAATAATAATAATAATAGTGTTAATATGTTTTGTGTTATATATTCAATAGTAATAATAACAATAATGATACTCCTGGGTGTGCTAATGGAGCCATGGAATTCAATGTTCTGCCTTCCCTGAATTCATCTCATCGATGGCATTTGGCAAGCTTAACCCACATTTTAATATGTTATAATTGATTTTAAATGTTCTTAGACATTAATTAGAGTGGTAAATGTCCCCCTGATCTGTGTCTAAACCCAAATCCTGTTGGATTCCCATGTATTTCTCTTTTTTCCCCTTCCCAGACACCCTTATAATGCAAGGATGTTGATTTTAAACGGAACAAAAGGATTCCCTGAGGCCTCTGCCCCAAGGCAAGTGTTCCAGTGAGTGGTAATAAATAAATAAATAAACTGTTTATCCACACGTGGCCAAGAGTGAACAGCAATCCTGCAAACCTCCCCAATGAAAGAGTTTCACATTTATCCTGAGCTAAGTGAACAGGAAAAATGCTCAATTTCTTAGTAAAAAAAAGTAAAATATCAAACCTGGTAACACATCTGAAACCTGGAGGAGCTTTATCACCTCAAATCTGATTTTCAGTGTAAATTCTCATTGAGAATTCAAAACCATCACTTGGTAAAAGTTCATTGTGGTGGTTGAAGGCTGACAGGCACATTTGAAACAGCACCAGGGCAATGAAAAAGATCCAAACCACATTTTCCATCCTTTTCTTGGGCCTAAATCACCAGCTGCTACTTGCTCAGCTCTCAGTTGAATTATTGGACTCTCAGAAATGATATTTCACCAGAAACCATGAACTTCAGAGAAACTGCAGTGGGGAGAAGGAACCCACAGTTCAAATCTTGGTCAGTGTGAAGTTGGAGAAATGAATTCCACCCCATCCGTGCAGGAATGACTGAACTCTGGAAAACCCAGCTGAAGGGATGATGGGGAATTTTTGGTTCCATTCCAGAACTGACCTTTCCCTTTCCCCTGAAATGCTGCAAGTCAGACACTGCCTCCAATTTATCAACAAATTCTGGGCCTTGGCTCCCCAAAATCCGAACGCAACCCTCCTGGAATGTGAAATTCCACCAAACTCTGCTGATTAATGCAAGAGGCCACTTCCTCCTAATCCTGGGGGAATTTGGAATTCAGAAAAATCCCAGCCCTTATTTTTCAATAATCAACCTATTTTCAATAATCAACTGGTGTTGATAAATCAAACAGATCACAGAAATCTTCTCCATGAAATCCACGTGGCCAGGAAGGCAAAATAAAATTAAATCTCAAAAGGTTGAGGCTGACATGTTTTGTGACAAATTAGGAGATTTTGGAAAGCACTGTTGTGTTTTCCAAGGAATTAAAGATGTCAAGTTTTGGGAGGCTTTTTTTTAATTCCACAGCCAAAGAAACAACAGAACTCTGGATAAAGAAAGAGGAGCTGACAGATAATCTAATAATGCCTTTATTTCATTTGTTCTGTTTATAAACTCAATTTTTGAACGCAGGACAGAACTGTAATTTTCAGAGAAACTTCCCTACTACACCTCAAGAAGGAATTTGGGTTTTTCACCACATGTCCC